TAATAAACCGTTTACGATGTCTGCTGTGTTAAAGCGCTAATTTTTGATTTTCTCCCATTCCCACTCTAAAATTTATTAGAGCATCTATAATCTTTTATACATGATAGAGACAAAGCTGAGAACATGTGTACTGACCACATGAAGTTTGTTACCTTTTATCTAGAACGATGTGTTTCTTTTATCTGTGTATTACATCGCCTTTGTATGAAGAAAATTCAGCTATTCTTCTCCCTCATTTTAGCAATGTAGAGTTGGTCAAAAGATTCCAGTATTATGTCGGGTAGAACATTCTGGTTGTAAAGGATAAAAATGTCCTTAACATAACTGCACTATAAAGGTTATTTTCCGATTTGCGAACCAACGACGACCCTATGAACAGGCTATCTGTCAGTCTACAAATCTCTCCGTTTAATAAGAACTCAGTATTGTATGTCCGTATTTGTCTTTTTACTTCCTTTTTATTTATTGAATATACAAATATACCATCAACATTCAGGATGGGGGGCCATGGCCATAAAAAAGCTTCCTAAGAGGATGGGCGGTGGTGGTGGAACGGTTCGAACCCGGGACTTAAGAGTTACAAGATGGTGGGTGACCTAACCACTTGGCCACAAGCGCCCGCAAGTTCATCGAGGAGAATTATTGTTGATATCCAAGATGAATAAACTTTCGATTAGTATAAGATTCCCGTCGTTTTGAATCATGGAACGCTTGTGAACTATGGCTGCATTTCACACTAATCTACAATGAGGTATTCAGCGTCCACCTCTGGAATCAATTGGACAAACTGGAAAGTGTCTTTTCGGCTATCGTGAAGTTTCTCAATGGTTCCAGGGTTTTTACTAGCCCATCGATTGGTTGGATCATAAGCAAAATTCCCATATCTAGTACTGTTTGTGGTGGTGTCCCCATCACGAGCAGTTTTGTCAAATCCTACGGACGGAGAATATTGACTTTTCCCTTGGTTTCAGCTGTTCATTGTCAGAATTGTTTTTATGATTTTGGTTTCTTCAAGACCCGAGGCTGCGAGTTATTTGTTTGCACACTGTTTATCTTATCAGTCATAACCGTCATTAGAATCATTGTTCTTCTTTTTGCACAATTTCTTCTGTTCAGTAGTAGTATGATCACTTTGCCCTACTCCGATTTTGTGATCACAGTTTCCGCGTTTGATATCAAACGCCTTAGGGAGGTGACAGATTTCTAATTTAATGATGACCGTGAACGTGATTCGTTGATTTAGAATGAAAGCGCCTGAGCACACAGAGAATATGCTGATGAAAGATACATGGTTCGATTAAGATTAGTCAACTTTCAACAACTTGATCTTTTGGATACCTTGAATTCAACTTTATACACTTTGAAGTCGGTGCGTTTTCCCCAACTGCTATCCATGTTTCCTTCACACCTATGGATAGATAGAAAAAGTTGTTGAAACTAACAATACTTTAACGATACACATTTTTACCTTGCAGTTTCAGGTGAGCATTTTTCTAGTAGCTACCTGGAGCATTATATACATTGTGATAAATGATGATAATGAGTATGTTTATTGGAAACCTTTATATAGATGGATTGGTAACGACAATCTTCTCAAATATTTCTTACCTGGCTGGTATCGGAAATATAAGCTCCGTCTATAGTTGTAATAGCATGGAACACAGTTGTGCGTCGCTCCTTATGCTAGTAAAAGTTGAATTTCTTATGTCCATGATATAATTGCATCAGCTTCAATGAGTTTGTAAAGATGAAAGTATCTTCCGGTCTATATTAGAATGTGGAATGACAACGTTAGAGAGAAAGTCTGAGAAGCATTTAGCGAATAATAAATGGAGATCCTAAGTTTTAATGCCACAATAAATTCGATATACTTTCCGATAAAACGTTTGTATCAATGTGTGTATTTCAATTTGCTCTTAATCTCTGAGAGATAAATAATGAAACAAATATATGTATAATGTGTTATATCCTATCAAAAATAAGCACAATAATGATCAAATGCAGGATGCTTTTAGGATTTGTATGAAAGGTTTTTACTTTCTGTGTTGCACTGGTTATTGTGGTTAAATAGAGAACAAAAATTGCTGTCCAACATTCCTTTGCATTATACTTCGTTTACAAAGCTGCACGTCTAATCTTCGGAAAATGATTACTGATCTGTTATATATGTTTATAATCTGTCTGTGACTAATAGGTATTTGATCCCAGGAGAAACACGCTTGGTGCAACGACAGTTCCGTTCTCAATTTTGGATTCCCGTAGTATTGGGCTGGAATCGTCCAAACCGATCGCCTCTTACACTCGATCCACGACCACTCCTATTTTTACCTCTATTCCAAAACCGTATGTGACCAGTCAAGACCAACCTACTTCATGGACCACGATCATTCGTCGAGAGGAATTGAAACAACCGTTAGACGTGAAGGTGGATGATTCTGGAGGATGCAAAAGGTATATCTTTTATGATGGTTTAGCGAAACTGAGTTCTCGACCAATCTGATGTTTTAAACTGGGTATTCCTGTATTATTTTTGTCACATAGTAAGGAGATTTTGCCACAAATTGTATTCCAACTAACACGTATAGTGTTGCACCTTCCCACGAATTAGTTGAATTACGTATTCTATTTCCAATGAAATATTCCTAATCCCAAATAACTTACGTTTCATGCATAGTTGAGCTTCTAAATCCTCGAGCGGAGCTCACATTATGATGATAGCTGATGAGATTTTTCTTAGTGATACTGCTTGGAATAAAGAAACCACGTTCTATAAACAATCAAGAACTGTACACCTTATAGACACATGGAAAACGGAACTCAAAGGTGGTACGAGAAAACTATGATGATCCGCACTTTTGACTGAACAACTGGATCGCTAGTCACGTCAGATCACACTAATTGCATATGGCCTGATGTGTTTGAACTTTGGATACTACTCAGTTCAGTTCAGCTTTTACAACCGTTAACCATGCATTTTCGTGTGCCGGTTTTGGTTGCTGTCTTTTGGTGCCCCGTGAGGATAAACAGCAGCAAGAAGATTGGAATGTTGAAAACAAACTGAAGCGGAAGATAGAGAATTAATATAGAATTAAGTTAGGAGAATAATGAGTTTATGCACGAGCGCCACTGTTTGCGACATCCAACCATATCACTCAGTGTCTCTAACCATCGGTAACCATCATCCCGCGGTTCCCATCCAGGGAACCTAACGGGGCCCATGTGACCTAGTCTCCTGGTTAGGATTTTCATACCCTCATGCCAAGTCTTCGTTTGACCACACTTGATCTTTTTCCAACCGCTACCTACCTCGGCAAACATCGCTCGCCGTGGCAGCCTATTTGGTGACATCAGTAACACATGCGGCCAACCAACGTAATCTATGGAGGTCGATCACTTGCTCCAGTGGACGACCGCGACTGCCTAAAACTCTACGCCCAACCTCATCACTGCTCGTCCGGTTACCCCACCGGACTCATGCAGTGCTGCGTAGACAGCGGTGTTCCAACAGCGATAATCTATTTTTATCCTGTTCTCGTAGTGGCCAAGTCTCTGCATCGTAGTGCGGGACTGGCCGAACTGCTGCAGCATATACTCGAACCTCCACAAATGTCTTAATTTGGCAAATGCTACCTGAGCCTTTTGTATAAGCGCCGACGCTTCATGTGTGATGCGCTCGCCAGATGAGAAATCGCTGCCCAGATAGCAAAATTTGTCTACTTCCTCTAATACTTCAACAGTCAGGGCGGGACTGGGTGCTGAACCAACCCAATCTTGGAGCAACATTTTACAATTTGAAGGTGTAACACGCACACACTAGCACTCAAACCATCCAGAAAAGCTTGCAACTTACATGGATCTTCACTTAGTAGCACAATGTGGTCTACATACTCTAGATCAAACAGTCTGCCACCTGGGAGTAAATCGATACCGCTTTCCTCGCATGAGAATAGGCATGTTTCAATTACAAAATCTATCACGAAGTTAAATATAAACGGAAAGAGAGGACAACCCTGTCAAAAACCACTTTCCGTGGTGAACTCGGGATACTACTCAGGAATGATTATGTATAGGTAATGGTATAAGGCTCATCACTTGACCTATTCCGCCCCAAAACTAACTACTGATTAACATCAATGAATGGTAGAACCATCATCCATTCAGAATGTGCGTTGTGAGTGAATTTTCAGCATTTTCGACTAGTTGCACTGAAAAACACATTCACAGAACGAGAGCGGTAGAAACTGTAGAATAATTTGTGTTACCCTTCTATCAAGGTTCTTTACAAGAATACTTCAGCAAGCGATATTTGTCCAGATGTGTATTAACAAATGTTTGATTTACTAATATCGGTAATACTGGAGAGGATTCTGTTTCTGTGAGTGACGCTACTTACAAAGCGAAGCTCTCAGTACGATCAAGTAAGGGGTATTTACCAAGATAGACATGATAAAAGTTGTATCCAGTAGACAGGATGTGGTTGGGCAATCCCTAACATGCATGAACATATTTGTGCACCACTGAATTAATTAAAATATTGTATACAATGTGGACTTATCGTAGCTCGGGATGCGGATTTTGATATTTTCTCCGAACTGGAAGTGCTGTTTGCAGACATTTAACAGCCGGGGCTAGGTAACATATTCAGCAGAACAACTTCGGGGAAGCGTCAGTTCTCATAAACCCGGTCACACTCATAACTGGCACTTCCCCGAAGTTGCACAGATGATGGTGCCGGATCTGGCTATGAAGCATTTGCAAACAACAACACTTCCACCTCGAAGAACATACTAATACCACCGGCAACCTGAAAAGAAAACTTTTCAGTGTGTGATTTGGGTTTAATCGTTGTCTCAAAGATCCCGAAAAACCAGAATAAAACACTACAATTCATGTGTAAGCAATTTAGTAGTCAACGATTACATTTAGAGGACGATGAAGTTTTTCGAATCGCATTGACAATACGTGAATCCATGAACCTTTGAATTAAGAACGGTTATGTGACAAGTTAACTCCTAGGTAATTCACAGAGTCATTCTTAAGAGTGATATCATTGTTTTCAGAAACTTCACATAGATTATTAACAAGAATCTGACAAGGTGACCCAATTCTGACTCTTAAGAGAGCATCAACACATTTTTCTTTATTGATCGTAATACATCATGGCACATGTTAACGTTTACAATGGAGTTAAAAAAGAATAAAGGGGTTGGAAGAGAGAATAATCGAGTTCACTTGCATTCTTTTTAATCTTCAATAATTCTGAGATAAAAGCAATTAGTGAATATTTGGAAGAAGCTTTACTGCAATGGGAGCTATCTAGAGGGAGTGCTGGTAACCGCATATACTCACAGAGAGTCAGTGCAGTTTTTCAGCCATTCTATACACACTTTCAACGAAATGGTATTGCATCAGGGCCATCAGTCTTCTTGGATTTCAAGTGCTTCAGACTTTCAGCATCAGAAAGGCCCTGTTCTGATGGTGGACAGTGCGGTGGTATCGATTTAGGAACGGAAACAATATCAAACTTAGGGCATTGATCTTCTTCTCAAGCGCGACAGAGCTGGTTAAATGCCAACTCAATCTAGTGTTTTTTCCCGGATAGTTTCAACTTACATCCGACTAAGGCTTTGCATCTCTACTCTGATTGAAATTATTAATTGGTTCAATTGATGTACCAAACATATTCAACCCAAACTATTTACTTTAGTGCGAGCAAAGAAATCGCTTCACTACAAATGTAGGAAGTTTAAATTGGAGAACAAAGATCAAAGCATAACGGTGGATCACGAGTTAGTTGCTTACGTCTGGAAGAATCATCAGAACTAAGAAAAATAGATCAATGTGACGCTTACGGGCAATCTGGAGAGTTGGCCAAACCCGAAAGGAGTACGAACTGGTCAGTCAGTCACTGGCTCCCAGAGGATCATGGACTCACTACTTCATCCCACTGCCCAGTGAGTCAGGCTCCTTAACCAAAGGCTACTGATAAGGTCCCTAGAAAAGAAACCCTCGACTTCCGCAACCGGTTAGTACCACGCTCAACATCTAGTGATAGACTTATGCATTCAAACAGGTCTCAGACTCTCACACTCATGCGAAATTCTCCTCAAAATTGGTACGCAATTCTTCCACTCGTCCCACAAACAGCAACCTATTTCTCTGCTGGTTGGGTGTTCTATCTGGAATGTTCCCATTGACGTGTTTTCATGTCATGGCTCGCCACTCTTCTCCTCAACATCTGTCTCACCAGTGCCGTATCATTCGGATTCAGTTGTTTTATTCCTCTGAACTAATTCGTCATTCCACGTACGAACTTTAATTCGTACAAGGCAACAAGCAGATTTCGTTCGTGTGCTCGAAAGTCCAAAGATTGATGTCTCTGGGAAACACGCATTCAGCATTCAAGCTCAATGATCCACTTTGCTTCTGTTGTCGATCCAAAACAAGCGTTTCAAATGTGCATTTCCGGAGCCCTTGTCTCATCAGCGTCTAGTCAAGCAGGCTTTGGTATTATCTTAAGCGCCAGAGTCAAGGCTGGTCTATTGAACTGGATCACGGTAGATAGCCGACTTCGCGAAGTGAGAGTCTGAGGCTCAAGTAAAATTAAAAAGCAGAAACCAAATAAACGGCTCTTATTCGTGGTTTCTCTATACGCTCCCACAGATTGTTGCCCGAATACAGTCAAAAATGCCTTCCATCAATGTCTACATGAGGTCCTTCTAAGAATATATCTATATTACACCAATCTTTACAGATACGGCGCCAAATAACCATGGGTGAACGAAAAAATATGGGTACAAAAGAGGGGAGATGAAACATTCAACTTTGGGAGTTGCAACGTTTTTGTTTGTTTACTGCAAGCCGTCCTCAGAGCACCTAAGAGGGATATCGTGATTCTGGTCGGAGACCTAAACGCATGCGTTGGTCATCTGTTTCCCGATGAGACCCACCTCGGTAGCCATCATGCCCTTGATAACTGTCGTTCAGATAAAGGGGATAGATTCCTTAACATATGCTCAGAACACGGTCTGTTCCTCGTTAGTACGAACTTCAAACATTCCAACACTTGGCGTAACCGTTCTTCGGCATGAATGGGAACGCAGATTGATCAATTAGCTCGTAGCTATATATGGACAGGGTATGTGAAAGACTGACTTTTGTATTGGTCTCTCTGTTTGGACTCTGGTTACACTCTGCTTTATGTCAGGTTGTCTATGCAGTTTGGTGGCCGCATAAAGATGAGATGCAATCAGCCTGACATCACCAAGCTTTCTGATACGGCCGTTCTAACCGACAACCAAAACAAGTTGACCACAAGACTAACTACCAAGAAGTGTAGGTCAACAATGGACAATTATTCAACATTCAGCTAGTTTACACAATTATCACCTGACCCAACGAGTTGTAAAACACTGGGTCTCCTCCAAATTTCAGGCTCCTGGACGCGTGTC